CCCACCAAGAGCTCCAAAATTTCGCTGAGACTCCTCACAAACCCTCAAATTTCACAGGTCTGTCTTGTATGCTTTTATAGTTTCTCAACTCATTTCTCTGTAAGACTTAGCTACAAGCCTGATTCTTACTAAATAACATTATTTTTCCCCTTTTCCTGTTTGCCCAGGTGGGCAAACTCCCAGAGGAGTACTGGGCAGTCCATTGTTTTGACCGATTAAAGCACCAATTCAGAAGCAGAGGTGGAAGCATTCGTTACAGGCGTAACCACCGCAGGGAATGAACTTCAGTAACATCAACGTTAATCCAGAATGATTCTATTCACTGTTCTCAAGTTAAGTCCACTATACAACAGACAGGCTTCTGTAAAAACAGAAAACTCCCCAGGTAGCTACTTTTCACTCAACAGACTTGTGCAATGGAGGCCTGCTCAAATTAACGTATCAAATCAATCAATTAATCCAAGAAGAATTCTGAGATTTACCTAAGGACCTTGCCCTGATTTTGGACCAGAAGCCCAGCAAAGAGCTAAAGACCAAACTCTATTACTGAGGGCTCTGGAGAAGCAGACCTCAGAATGGAACGCTTCTGAAAGCGGCCTGTTTTCCAGCACCAATGTTAGTGGTTTCTTCTATTGGTTACTGATGGTGATTACACACGACTTGGGGGAAGGTGGAGGGGAAAGGCATCATTGACCAGAGGCTATTCACAGTGAATCCTGTAGCATAGATTTTATTTTAAAAATTACTCTTCACTGCATTGTAAATGCTTATATGATCACATGCAGACTGAGGAGAGGTAACTGGGCTTTTTCCTCTTTTCAAGTACAGCTGGCAGTTGATCCTGCGCATGGTCAGTTGCTTGGCAACAAAACAAGTTTCTCTGGCTACAAAATAAATATTCCACATCTGAAATATTTGAGAAAATACTGTTTTTCCTAACTGCATTCCATAGTACTTGGTCCACAGGGTTTCCCAAAATAACCTAAAATGTTAGCAGGGTTACACAAAGGACGACCTCCAATTAGATTATCACTCTGAGACAGATACAGACATGTCCTCCTATACAACACTGGTCATATTCCTAAAACGGTATGTTAAATCTACTTTGTAGTCTGGAGCTCACATAAAGTAGTTTAACTGCCTAGGAACAAATTAGCTAACTAGATCCTGCGCCCTTTTAAATGTAGGTGTGGTGGGAGACATTTTGCAGGGACTGAAAATCTGGAAGTTTCTATATTCGGTCTGAGATGTGTGCCAAAGAAAGCATGTCTAAAGAAACAGCTAGTGAGCACAGACAAAAAAAAAAAAAAAAAAGAGATATCTCATCAACTACCAGCCATGCTACTGGAAGTGCCTGGCCCTGGGGTTGGTGCAGAAGATACTAATTTAAAGTCACGAGTCTTCCAGTATCTCATAATTCTGACTGCCATCTTTCTCTTCATCCTTTCAACAGGATATCACTTTCTTGAGGACACAGACAGTAGAACCTAGTTCTTCCTGCCCCTCTGAAAGCATCCATCCCATTGGCCAATTCTAAAAAAATCTAATGGACAGATTCCTTTTTTTCAGATGCAAGGGAAGGGTCATGGACCAGTACACTGTGCTGGATGAGATCACTGGTCCAGTTAACACTGTACCTTCTGTCCCATCATGATCAACAGTGAATGTCTACGAAGAGAATAACAATAGGACAAGCAAACAGTGATGATTCTTTAATACCCTCTCCCATCATTCAACAATCTAACATAGGGATAGCCTATGTTTAATAGCCCTTGATGGATCCTTCTTCCATGAATTTGTCTTAACATAAAGACTAAGGAGGAGAAATATCCACCTCTAGATGGTGAAGAAAAATTAAATTTATTAAGTTCTTAAAATGAAAGAAAAGAGACTATTCACCTTACGAATGGTCAATTAGAAACACTGATGAAGAATCATCAGGCTGTTTCACCACCTTCAGGGCCTAAGCCTATTTTTCAAAAAGGAGTCAGCCGAAACTTTTGGAATTTGGCCTCTTAAGTCATGCAGGCTGGTCTTAAGTTCAGACATTCCTGTAAATATGGGACTTGGCCTTCAAATTCATCTGGGCTCATTCAATAAAAGGATTCACACACCCACCACTAATATGCAATCCAGGTGTCCAAGGCCACCTGGATTTGTAATAGTACAAAGCTAGAAACCTCCCAGATACACCTAAATGCTATGGATATCTCCCTTTTCAACCTTAATTCTCCTTACATTTTTCTTCTACATGCACTCAGAGCATTTGCATCTCTGAGCTGGAAGCGTCTCATCTATTGCACACTTAAAGTGGGAACTGAACCTAGAAACTAAACTGAACAGAACATATCCCTGTGCTCATCTCCCTTGAGTAGCTTAACTGAACTGGGAGTGTTAAGAGCCCACTGCTAGATTAGATAGAAACAACTAGAAACTTCTTCTAGCACACAAGGGGAGGAGGAGGAGCTATTTCCCCTCCATTATTTTTTAAATACTCATTTCCCAAGTAAATTATTTCTTCCATGGGAGTCTTGCCACGTTCAGTGGACAGGATGGACAGCACTTGCTTATTGAGTTCTCATGTTTTGTTCATTGCCAATGTATGGTCCCCTGCACAAGAATAATTTATTTCCTCTTGAATAGCCTTTAATGCTTATATGTTTTGCATATATTAACATTTTTGAAATATCCTTGTTATCTCATTTTGCAATAACAAATCAAGGCACAGAAGAATTAGTCTTTTAGCATCTGCTTATCATAGGTGTCTCACTTCAGATTTTCAGGAATTGAATTCTCAGTGTATTTGCATTAGGTACCAGTTTATGATGCACTAGTTTATGTTATGTACCAGTATGTTAAAATGACTTAAAATGACTTAATCTGCACCTGTAAGTGCTTGGCACATAAGCATATATCTCTGAGTATTTTCACTCAGAACTCAGTGGCAGGAGAAGATGAAATCAATTTCCTCATGATTTCAATACTTAGTCTTAGCTTAGTCTTCACAAAGCTCTGTCTTTCACACTCCATATTCTAATTTCTGTAACATTCGAAGCATTTGTCCTGCAAACTTCAACCCCAGAGCATTTTACCTGTGCAATAAATGATAAGGAACTTGTACAAAAATGCAGTTTAAGACTATCATGATGCCCAGGGAGCAGAACATAATTTTTACAGAAAGCCTTAATTTTGTCACTGTCTCGGTCTCAGTGCTTGACTTTGCTACATTGTATTAATAAGGCCCTGTAAAAGCTTAGCACCTAATTCCGCATTGACACTTCCATATGTTACCAGCAAAACGGGAGCACACAGCTCCAAGGCACTCTGTAGTAGCTAGGAAGGAGGAATTTTTGACAGTAGTTTTCACAGAAATTTGCTGGTGGAGAAAGAACAATGAAGCTTTAGCCCCAGGATTTATATCAGTTTTAAAGGGTGATGGCCTAGCAGACGTTGTATGCAGCCCTTGTTCCTTTGGCCCTGCCATTCCCAACCTATTTCTAGTTCTCCGTCTTAGTCCCATCCCCTTTACTTCTGCAATGAGGAGCACATCCTTCTGCAGTTACCTCGTCTTCTTGTTCCACATCAAATTGCTTTGCTCAGCAAATCCAAGCCTCCCAACTTCAGCCTTAGCATCCATTTTAGCCTCCACCATGCATGTGTATATTCTCCCAGCCTATGCTTTTGCCCTGTCTCCTAGCACAAACAATTCTAATTTCATGCAGTTTGTCTCCTGCCTCAGCACGGCCTTTGGGTAACCATTTACCCACTTCCACCTGGGTTTCACTTCCAGCCCTTATATCCAGTGTCAATGTTAATCTCCTACTGCCTGGTCTGGTTTCAGTGTTATTATGCACTTTATTCCTGCTCTCCCTGCCACGCTGCTCTTCCCTTTCAGATCAATATGCACAGCCTCCCTCAACTCCCCCTCAGCATCCTGTAATTTCTTTGTCCGAGACTCTTTGCCTGAACGGTCTTTGATTCCCACCACCAGCAGCTCTCATCCCTCTTATCTCTATTCCTCATTGTTAGTGCCAGTCTTCCTACATGGTTCAGTCCAGCATCAGTTGTGTGCAGGCCTGTCTTCCCCCTCTGCCCATCTAAGCCTCATTCGAGTTTCCTTTTTTTCCAATCAGGTTCCTAATCCTCGTTGCCCTCCTCATTTCCCCACATCAGATCTGGTCTAGTCCCCCCACAACTTGAAGCAGGTAGTTTCCTTCATGTGAACAAGGGTCTCATATCCCTGATAGGGGAAGGAGGAAAAAAAAAAAAAAAAAAACCAAAGCCTCAGACAAATTTCATATCCCAGAACGGGAGGACTACATCTTTTCAAAGAAAATTATTGGTAGTGATTTTTTTTTTTTTTTAGCATGAGTAAAACAATGTATTTTTCTCTAGCCTTGTTCTTGGAAGAGGTTAAACTGTTCTGGCTGAAACTTTCTGAAGAGAATTCAGCCTGAGGCCGACACCCAAAGCAACATGGAAAATTCTAGCTTGAACAGCTACTTTGAAAAAGTTTTGAACAGCTGAAAATAGGGCCTTAGAACTGGAAGTGCTTGGCAGCCTTAATAAGAGATGGTGTTACTAGCCCTGCCTATGCTGAGAGTCAAAGGGCCACACTATAAGGTCACTCACTTCGGTGACAAGCATGAAAAATGCATTTTATGAAGCTACTCAGGGTTTCTGCTAGCATAACTGAGATAAGGCTTCTGCCCTTTAACTGTCCTACAGTCCAATGACTTGATGAATCTAGAGAGATTCTAACAATATTTTTCCTTTCCCTCGAGCTGTGCCTTAGTGTACAAACCAGGGCAGCAGTGCTAGCCAGTTATAAGATTTCCCCCGAGCCTTACACTTTGTGGTGTGGCAGTTCATTGTAAGCAGTTGGCAGACAAGCCACGAGGCCCCCAGCTGTTCAGATTCCTTCTGCAAGAGTCAACATAATTGTATCCTTACTTGTCTCTTCGGCTTCTCCACTCCAGAGTTTGCTGTAATGGACCTACCTAAAGTAATTAGAGCACCTGTTGCATCGCCAGATCCATTTAAGGGAGTCCTACTGCAGTTGGGTTTACATGGTTTGACAGTAATTGTTTAAGTGGATGCCATTGTAATGACACTGCAAAATAAAATTGTAGATTTATTTTAATCAATAAATATAATTACATGCTCATCAAAACATGAGCTTATCTGTAATTAGTTCTCCATACCATAATGCAGTCCATAACGCCAACTTTGTGCACATTACAGAATGTCAGACAGCAATTACATTTGCAGAAGACAGGATATTCACAATCAGTTGAGTTTTTACAGGTCAGGAAGTCTGAGCCCTGGAAAAAAAAAAATCACAAAGTATCAATTGTGGAACTTGAAAATGGCTATGTGGTTTGGGAGCAAATTCTGTTTATTGGTTACACTAGTAGCACTGGTACCAGGAGAACGGCCACTGTAAATTAACAGTCTTAATATGCATTAACACAAATGGCATTTTGCAAGCTCAGTTACTTAAGCTGCTAAACTTAGCCATTTTTCTTTCAGACCTATACAAGACTGAATAGCATAACAAAGTGGGAAGGGTTGTTATCATAAGATATTAAAATATCAAGAACATTTCCATATAAAAAATTATGTGCATATACGTGCCTACACATACCCACACACGCATCTGTTTACACTTATAGCCAAGTGTATATAGCCGACATTCATAAATGTGGTACAACACTTAAAAACTTACCCTAATACCATCTGTAAGAAAAATCTTTATTGTCACATTGATTTTACACAGGAGGAAATTCAGACGTGAGCCGTTATAATAACCTTCCTAAGGTAGTCACAAAATTAGAAATAATGCTTACATACTGACTCATATTTTTGTTCAAATTATTGGCTAAAACCAAAACAAAACATAATCCTATAAACCTAAGAAACATAGTTAAAATGGCATAGTAACAGTTCAGCACCCATACATCGTATGGGCCCATGTTTGTCTGCTTATCTGTTATTTTATATAAATATGTACTTATAGCATTTTTATACATATATTTATATGCATTTGTATCAAGAAATCATGTCACACTACAGAAAATCTTTCTCAGTAATAGTGTAATATTAGAGTTTTTTTTTTTTAACTGCATTGTAGGTGGCTTATAAGTTTCTGTAATTACATCTATTTTTAGTACTGACCCAATAGGCCAAAGTTAGGTGTTGGTTAGAACAGCAGCACAGTATCAAACACAGTTTGGGACAACATCTATCACTATTTCCATCACCAGATTTACAAAAATTTGCTTTTCAAAAAATAGAACAGAGGCTCTTTGGGATAACGTCCTAAAGCAGAAAGTGTTCTTTTCAATAGGTTTTATTGCCATTTCAGTTGCTGTGTAGCATATTAATCATACAAATTAATAAATATATACAGAATAGTGTAGCATATTAATCATACAAATTAATAAATATATACAGAATATATTTAGATGCAATGGATATTCATCTATATAATTACAATTACTTGTACATTAGTAAGGAATCTGAAAATCATCACAGTATTTTGCCATTGTTTTTCCATTTCTTCCTACATACTTTTGTTTCTTCTCTTGAAGGGGTATCCATAACTGGAGTCTTCATTCACATTATCCATAATTCTAAGCAGCTGTTAAGCACATGCTTATCTTTACATACATGCTTAAACATAAACAAAATCAGTGGGGTATAAGTAGCTGCTTAAATGCCAACCTGAAACCGACTGAATTTTAACAGATTCTAGAGTGATTTCCAGCCAATCCTGTCAAACTTCCATTGAAATACGGACTTGAAGATGGATTCTAAATTAAGTACAAATACTTGCACAAAGCAGTTATTCTCCATAATTTGTCTTTTACTACACTGTCTTGTAAAAAAAAACAAAAAAACCACAACTTGTGAGGACAGGCACCACCCAACTTTTCAACTAAAAATAATATTTTAACCTTTTTCAACATTATGTTTATACAGTATTTCCCTGAAGGAGAAAAGAAATTATGGTTAAATCAGAGTACAACAGGGTAAATCAATCAGTAGCACCACTCTGCAGGACCACAGGATGCTGTGATCTGTGCCAGATCACTGCGCTCTGGATACCTCTTTTGGGGGCACAGAGCAGCCCCTAGGCAGCTGTGTTACAGTGCCAGGACGGCTCCCCAAACCCGCTCTGCTCTCTGCGACTTGAGAGAGAGGGCCCAGGCCCACCTCAGCTGCTCTCCGTCACGGTGCGCGCAGACACCACGCAACAACGACAGGGCTGGGAGTGCCACCGCACAGCCAGCACGGCCGTTTTATTGAGGCAACGCCGTACAGCACCCTGCAGAGACTCAATGCCCGACCCAAGATGTGAAGTGGTTTCCCTCAGCTCTGGAGGTCCCATTACTTCTCTTAGTTTGGGCATCCACAGCAGCGTGGCAGGAAACACTGATACACAACTTTGTCACACCACAACCAGCTCTTACAGGGCCTAGATTTTTATTATCTCCATGAAAAGAGAACAGGCATATCCTTAAAAGAATAAAGAAAATCCTCATTTCTCTTATACTTTGCACACTCAAAAAGAGAAAGCTCTAATTTCATAGTGTCTCTAAAGAGTATGGCCTCCCATTTTGAAAAAGTCCAGGAGCACCGGATAAAAAGTTATGCATCTGCAGAAATTAAACAAGATGCTATTAAAATTACCTTGAATGCATATGGAGTTTACTAGGCAATGAGATCTTTTACGAAGGGTATTTGAATCATCTAAATAACTTCTGTTGTCAAAATAAATAGATTTTTATTAAACGAAATATATGGGGCTCAAAACTTTAATGTTCTAATAAATTCTTCAGTGCTGCAGCCAATTTTGTCTGTATAGGATACAGAGCAACATTACATCAAGTATTAACCACACCATTCCTACAATCAGAGTGAAATCTATGTAACCCCTCTAAGGCCAAAATTAAGGGATTTAAGCAGATAAATACAAACAGAACTGGCCCACTGCCAGACTGTTCTCCATATTGGGCCAATGCTGACTTTTGGAATAGCGGTTGTCCAAAGGATATATATCTACTATTCATTATTCCTACAAATCAGCAAGTTCACCCACTACTGGCCCTCTTTTTTCCCTGAGGTCATTAAAGAGAACAGTTAGGGTAAGTCATGCATTATAAAGTTCTGACCATTCCCCCCCACCAGCCCTACAAACTATGCCACGGAGGTCAATGCAAATCCGGCCTGTGTAAGAGTAAAGCCCATAACAAGACCATGATCTCTTACTTGCATGGAAAATGCAAGATACACTTCTGCAGCGATAAAGGAATCAAGGATGCAAATCCCAAATCAGCGTCAGGTCAATATATCACCAAACGTTTAAGGCATTAATCCACAACTTCACCTGTACCTTCGTTATATCCACTTTTTTACATGGTTAGTATGAATATGACACTGTCAGATATAATTTAAATACAATAATAAGAAAGGATGACAATAGACAACTTTTTTTTTTTCCAAAGAAGCTATCAACTTATCTACAAACTTTGTTTTCCTCACAGACATGCATACAACCACTAAGAATAGCAAAGATCAACGGAAAGAAGAAAAATGGGTCAGTGTTTCTATTTTTCCAGCTACTTATCAAAGGTATGTCTGCACATCGAGTAGACAACATTCCACTTTCCCTTTGTGGTCTGCTGGTGCTGAGGAGCAAAAAAAGGACAGAATCATTGTCAGAAAAATGGGAACCACAAAAACGGATGGGGGGGGGGGTTAGTTAAGTCCACATTTAATTTATTGTGGACTGGCTAGATTTCAAGCCAGTAATGTGCATCTTCAGACACCATGGACTGTTTTGTAGATCAGTCATCCACCACAAATAAAATCTGAGGCTGAGATCAATTGAGCTGACACTTACCGTGTTTTCCAGCACAAGCCCATACAACCTCTCATGCCTGAATTTTAGGAGGCTTCAAAAGACAGAATGATAAGAGCTGATTAACAGTTACTAAAGAGACAGACAGCCTGTAGGAGTATGAGAGTCATGAGTGGGCAAGAAACTCTTTATGGGAATGCTGTGGTTTTTTACCTAAGCTGAACTCTGGTATCATTACGTGAGCTATCAAGAGATGCAGAAGCCAATTTATGAAGTGGCAGCCTTCACTTTTACATGACACAGAAAATTATCAACCCAGCCAGGACATTGTTTTTTTAAGGTGACTGAGCCAAGGACATTGCATTTCAATTTTGTTTCTCAGGCAAGGCCATATGATTTTTCCTACCCTTACTGTAGAAAAATAGATGGCTTAAAAGCAGAGGTTAATCTGTGCTGCATATGCAGTAAGATTGTGGATGTCTGACTTAGTGTAATGTCCATTTCAAAGCAGACAGTCCATTTGGAGCCACCCATCTCATTCTGCAAGGTGGCTTAACCAAAAAATCCTAAGTCACTATGGCCTTCGGCGAGCAGTCAAATCCTTTAGCAGTCTATTTAGCTCCTTATTAAAGGCAAGGAAATGAAACTACTCTGTAGGGATTTAGGACTAAAAACCTCACTGCATGCCATGCTGCCACGTGCCCCCACCCCTCTGCACTGCTGAAGCACAGCGAGAGTCAGCCAGACACTCGTTGTTGCACCAATCTGTTTTTCCTGGAACAGATCATTCCAGTGACTAAATCACTGATGGTGTCCACCTAGTTCTATTACTCAGACATGTCACTTGACAACAAATACAAATAGTCATCATATTATAGTCAGTTAAAATGTTCAGTCACTTTGAGATACAACGGACTAGGAGGAACCACAAGAGGAACTCAGTAACAAATCAGCCAACTGGGTAAAATCCCACTTCTTCTGCAAGTCTGTAGTGTGACACATGGATGCTGAGCTGGGCCAGTAATCTTCATATTCATTCAGGCGCACTCAGTTGTTGCATACAGGCAGGCTCTGCAGCTGACATCTTAACATGCAGATCAGCAGCTTGTCCAGCAGGCAGTAAGCCATCACGTTTCACTTATCAAGACTGGGCCAATGGCAGTCTTGAACTGCCCAATAATAGGATTTCTTCCAGCTTTGTCCGGATCATTGAATTGGCAAAAGTCCACAAGCCTGTTCCCAACAACAAATTCATGTCCTCGCGTTTGATAGGGAGTCATTTGACTCAATCAGTTGTTGTGTTTTTCCCCCTACCCCATCAGCATGATGCCTGCTGAAGAATCTTCACTGAATTGTAGTCTCAACAGGTCATTTCTCTCTCATCAGATCCCAAGGTAAAATCTGCTCTAACTCCATTTACCT